TGGAGGGACCTGCGATGAACTGGGGGATACTGGGCGGGGGCAGGGGAGTGCTGGGATGACCAGGGGAAACTGGGGTAGACTGGAGGCGCTGCGATAGATTTAAGGGATTGGGATGGACTGGGGGAATGGGGATACGGGATTAGGGACACTGCGGTGGACTGGGATGGACTGGGGGCAACTGGAGTAGACTTGGGAGGGGGAATGGGGTGCCAGGTGGACCATTCCGGAAAATAGACACTTCCAGTAAGTTACAAATTGCAATGAACCGGGGTGCCTGGACAGTCCTTTCCCCCAAATGCAGGACTGCACACCATTTTGCCTCGTGGTCGGAAGGGGGAGGGTGGGGGGGGGGGAGGAGGGAATGGAGCACCAGGTGGGGTGCACCGGGTCTGGAAGAGCTGCAGTTGTGAGGGCACAGCTGCCCACAAGTGCAAGATAAGCACAGTGCGCCCTGGGCTAATGATGGCCATGCCCCCACCTCAGATCGCCTCTTGGAGAGAGCAGCTTGTTCACAGTGCCTATCCGCTGTCGGCTCCCACCAGATGTGCAGCTCTACATACTTGCCCTTTACGCTGCCAGCCAGCACCAGAGCTGTTGCTGCTCAGCCCCCTGTGGCTACCAGAATGGAGGCAGAGGCCAGAGAGATCTTGCCTCTGCAGAGACCACATGCAAGGCTGGGAGGGGAGCATGGCCATGGGAGGGGGCTAGCCTGCCCCCCATGCCTGTCCACATCCCCTCTCACATAGCACAACTCACCTCTCCATTCCAGGATCACCCCCACGGCACTGACAGCAACGCAACTGACCTGGCCTCTGGGCAGAGCAGCCAGTGTGACAGCCCCAAGCAGGCGCAGGGGCAGGACAGCCCACCGCTCCCTGTGCCCTCTGTGGTGAAGGTAATGTCTGTAGGTCCAGGATCCTTGAGAGGGGGAACAAGCCCACATGGCTGGGTCCAAGCCTGAACTACCAGCATGCCACACCTCACATGACTAGGAGGTTTGGAAGTTGGGCCTTTAAGGCCTGAAATAAAGTAGGGAGACAAACAACACTGTGAAGTGCTGCACATTGACCTCATTTTGCACTTGTATAAAAGGTATAGCATTGCACCCTCTGAGAGATGATTGCTCAGGTCCTGCATTGAAAACATCCCTTGGGGCTAGGAGCGGAAGGAGACACAAGGTAACGGGGAAATATCCTTAAAGCAAGGCATGTCATTCTTCATCTCTTGTGGTTTCCAGCACAGCTGGAATGAGATATTACCCTGGGGGAGTCTCCCCAAGTGCCAGCTCAGCTGTGTTTGGACCTGGACTGTCAGGGTGCCTGCAGGGACCTACCCTCACCCTGGTCCAGGCCTCTGAGTTTCCAAGGGAGTGATGAGAGCTCTTCTCCTAGCTAATTCCTTTTCTTCTTGGACCAACAGTCCAAATCATCCAGTGATAGCAAGAACCGTCACAAAAAGCCCAAGGACACCAAGCCCAAGGTGAAGAAGCTGAAATATCACCAGTATATCCCTCCAGACCAGAAGGCAGAGAAGTCCCCTCCACCCATGGACTCTGCATATGCCAGACTCCTCCAGCAGCAGCAGCTATTTCTGCAGCTCCAGATCCTCAGCCAGCAGCAACAGCAGCAGCAGCAGCAGCAGCAGCAGCAGCAGCAGCACTTCAGCTACCCAGGGATGCACCAAGCCCAACTAAAGTGAGTAGCAATGTGCCAATAGCCAGGTTTAGTGCCATCTCCCTCCAGGTTGTCCTTTATGCTTCCATGACCATTTGTGCCAGTGCAAGGAGGACAGGCATACACAAGTGAAACATGAAGGCCTGGGAACACAGTATGGTCTCCTGTAAAGCCATCTGACTTTGGGCTCTGGTTGGGACACCTGTGACCTGCTGGTAGGTCCCCAGTGATCTCCTCACAGTCCATTCTGGTTCTTTTTTGGGTTGGAAGTTCTTCAGCTCTCATATAGGAGATGGTAGGCCCAAGGGAGCAGAGCGGTGGTATTTGGCACTGGACAGAGAGACCTCAAAGGGTAGAAAAGTTATCTCACATCTTCTTTCTTGTTTCAGGCAATCAAATGAGCAAATGGCCAAAAGTTCAAACTCTTCATCAACTTCTGTCAACAACTCCCCTCTGTCTCCTGTGAAATCCACCTTTTCAGGCCAGACTTGCATCTCATCTATCAAGCCAGGCCCTTTGCCATCTAACCTGGATGACCTGAAAGTGAGTGCAAACTTTGTCACCACAAGAGTAGATTCTTATAGCCTGAATGTGCCTTGCTATCCCTAAGCATGCAGTGTAATGCTGCAGAGGCTGAGCTGGCTGGGAGTGAATGTGTGTAACAGATCAGCAAACCAGAGCCGCTGTACTGCACGCAGATCCAGGAGCACACTCACACTGGGTCAAGAATCAGTCAATGCAGTGTTAGCTGAAGACATGGGATTGCTACTTTGCGGGTGTTGCATGGGTACATTGCCCCAGGACAGATATCAGCAAATCCTACAATGTAACTCTTGAGACAGCTGCAGGCCAGGGCATGAGGTTGAGGACTAAAGGAAGATCTATGCTGCTCCTCCTGCAGTTCATGGTTCTGTACCTGCTCTAGTTTTAGGATGGCCATCATGGATGCTGCTAACAGACCAGTCAGAAGCTAGGAGATCAGCATAGCCTAGACACTCACCAAATGATTCAGCGTCTCTGTGGCTGTTGGAAGTGCATGCTGAGTCCATTCCACTTCAGCTGCTCTGCTAGCAGCAGCTAGGCCAGCTCAGCTCTCTGCACAAGCAGATACCACTGGAATCTGTAGCTATGAGCGCTGAGCTGGATGCTGTCTAATTCTTTCATATAGGCAGGACAGGCAGGGCATAAGAAAGAATCGTTCATATCAACAATTCTTTCGTACTTTGTTAATATAGCCTCAGCCTTGGCCTCCAGGAAGGCCAAAGCTAGACCCTTTTAGGAGCAGAGACCTGCGTTAAATACTCATTATTAGAGAGAGAAAATAAGACAAGATAGAAATAACACGTGCTTGGCTCTGGTGATGACATGGTTCAGATTTCTGAACCTGGTACAGATGCCTCAACCTGGAGTATCTGGCTCCAAAGGAAGGTGGTCATGTTCTCTGAGCTAAAAGAGCTAGCTCCTGGACTGTATAAAATTCCTTGGCTTTCACAGAAATTGCTAGAAAGGGAGTCATGGGTTACCTCCATGGCCCAAGGACTGCTGCTCGTTCATGGAGAGCAGTCACAATTGCTGGAGAAAGAAATGTGATTTTCCTGTTAGGAAAGCTCAGGGTCCTGAAGGATGTGCAGCCGTCAGCGCTGTGCACAGTGGCTCTAGCAACTGCAGGCAAGACACCGAGCTTCTGCAGACTCAGAGCTTTAAAGCAGGAGGTTGGAAACCCCTGTGATCTGACACTCCTTGTGAAAAATGTCAGGTAGAAACCTGAGGGTTCACTCGTGAGGGAAGTCATTAGGAATGATTATCGGTGACTTTCCTTCTAGGTGTCAGAATTGAGACAGCAGCTGCGAATAAGAGGCCTGCCTGTATCAGGTACAAAAACAGCATTAATGGAACGTCTGCGGCCCTTCCAAGAGTGCAGCAGCAACACAGTACCAAACTTCAGTGAGATAACAACTGTCACCTTCCCAGTCACTCCAACAAGCACCTTGTCAAGTTACCAGTCTCAGTCCTCCACCAGCATGTTATCGAACGGCTTCTACCACTTTGGCAGCACCAGCTCCACCCCACCCATCTCCCCAGCCTCCTCTGACCTCTCTGTGAGCGGCTCTTTGCCAGACACGTTCAACGATGGGCCCATGTCTTCTCCACAGTTTGGTCTGCAGCCATCACCGGTTCATGGCAGTGCCGAAGAAAGTCTCATGAGCAGCATGAATGGAGGGAATATCCAGCTGGAGCTGGAAGGGATTGACACAGAGAAAGACAAGATGCTTGTGGAGAAGCAGAAGGTCATCAATGAACTGACGTGGAAGCTGCAGCAAGAGCAGAGGCAGGTTGAAGAGCTACGGATGCAGCTCCAGAAACGAAAGAGAAGCAATGGCCTTGAGGAGAAGCAACAGTCCACTCAGCATTTCTTTGGGGTTCCCATCAAGCAAGAAAACACAGTGTCCAGCTGCCCGTTTGCATCTAAACAAACTGCCTTGAAAGGCCAAGCCAGCAGCTCAGATAAGTTAAGTAACTGTGGGGTGCCACAGCTGCCTCACATTGTAAATAGCCACTGCTTGGAACCTGCAGGCCAGAGCACCATCACTTCCTCGACATTTCTTAGCCCGCAGTGCTCCCCCCAGCACTCTCCACTCGGGGCTGCAAAAAGCCCACAGCACATCAGCCTGCCGCCATCCCCTAACAGCCACTATCTCCTCTCATTGTCCCCGGGCTCACAGGCAGAAGGGCGCAGCGGGTCCCCGCAGACCAACAATTGCCTTCGCACAGCATCGGTAAGTGGGGAGTGTTCCAGATGGCATCTTGGTGGTGAAAGTGGTCGTGTTTGTGGGCATTTAGTCAAACCTTCCTGTTTGAACTTTCCTATCAGACTGATGCTGCTGGCATCCAGGATGGACATACAGGGGTTTGTGGGAGCATCCTGGGCTACCTGGAAAGATAGAGGTGGAGCATGAGTTGAAAGCTAATGGCACCACAGAGTCCTCTCCAGGACATCTTCTGGGAAGCCCTGCTGCCACCACAGCCATTTGCACTGGGGGGAGCCACAACACAGCTTCTTCTGCCCACAGAGCCCTGGCATAGCTCCTTCTGCTCTGAAGGGGCTCATGCACTGCACGTCTTAGGCCTCATGGAGCCCTGGCACAGTTCCTTCTGCCCTGGGGGGAACCTTGGCATAGTTCCTTCTTCCCAGGGGGTCCTGGCACAGCTCTCCCTGCCCTTGGGCAAGCACTGGCACAGCTCTTTCTGCTCTGGGGAGCCCTGGCACAGCTACCTCTGCTGTGGAGGGATCTGACACAGCTCCCTCTGTCCTGGGGAGAGCTGGCATAGCTCCCTCTGCTCAAAAGAGTCCTAGCCCAGCTCCATCTTCTCTCAGGGGGAGATCCTGGTACAGCTCCCCCCACCCTGGAAAATCCCTGGCATAACTCCCTCTGCTCCATAGAGTCCTGGCGCAGCTCCATATGCTCCTGGGGGAGCCCTGGCACAGTGGTATAGAGCGTTTCGCTGAGCCACTGCTACTCCTAGCAGTGTGAGAGCACTGGACTGAAGGAGAGCAATTACCCCAGTCCTTTGGGAAGCCTTTTCGTGAGAAGATAGAGCAGACTTGCCATTGAGATGTACAGTCATGGGAGAGTTTGTGGCACCACCACCGGTCACCAACATAGCAGAAGAGAGTTGTCCCTTCAGCATCCATGGCTCCTTGCTCAGCCTGCTGGACAGGTGTGAAAACTGGGAGGGGGGGTGCACCTGGCAGATATGGTGAAGCAGCCACAGGATGGGCAGCACAAGGTGCTGCTGTTTGAAGCCCCATCTCCTCCCAACACCATATATTCATCCTACCATTTTCTCAGGCAGCAGGAGAACCCATCATAACAACACGTAAAGCACACTGCACTCGCAGTGGTGCAAGGTGTGTGGTGCATTCACACAGTACACACACTGCATTCATAGCAGATGTGCAACAAGTGTGCACTGAATACAATAGCTGCATTGCACACTGCAAAACACCCAACCCTCAAGCAGGACAGTTCATGAAATGCATTCCCACAATTAAGATGCTGAGCAGTGTACAGTGGTGCGCTGGGGAGTGAGTACAGTGCCAAAGGGGTGAAATAGAAGGTGGGATGCACTATTGTCTCTAAGCCATTCAGGGTACAGTGATACAGATGAGATGATAAGCAGATGGGCACAATACTCTCAGTGAGCTGGACAGTGGGGTGCAGTGCTGTGGGGGCAATACACCAAGAGACACAGTGAGGCAGGTCTGAAGAACTGGGCCATAATCAGAGGGCACCAGCTGTGAGCAGCAATGCTTCAAGGGGTCCCCTACATCCTTCCTCATTGCTAAAGCGAAAGGGGCAAACATAGGGGTTAGGTCCTCTGTATCCTGCAGTTCATCCTGGCTGCGACACCAACCATCCTGGGCTTTTCTCTGCTGTCCACGAGGGGCTTCCTGGGATGAGGGTCACTTTTATGGGGGTTCAGGTCCCCGCCTTCAGTGAAAGGAGCTGGGCAGCAGTTTGTAGCTGGGGGAGTATCGCATTGCTGGCAAGGTGCAGCTGACTGTCACCAGGAGGGTTTTGCTCTCCATCTTACTCTGCATGTTCACAGCTGAACTGAACACCAGTCTGCTCTGAGGTATCATGTCTATGGCCAGATCTCAGACAATGACCAGAGGTCAACCCGGCCCTGGACCTCACTGGTTTCCTCAAAACTAATCTAAAGGCACTAGTTTACCTACCTGTCTCCTTGCCCAGAGGCCTGGCACATGCCCTGTTTGATCTAATTTGACCCATAACATCATTCATTTCTCTTGAGTCACTCTGGTTTCAATTGGGGTGAAAGAGAACTGGGCCTCCAACAGTGCCAAAAGGAGCGTAATCTTTTCCCTGTGCATTGATTCCATTTCCCTATATTTCCCCCACGCAGATGGCTACGCAGGCAGGTCAAAAGTTTTCTATTCCATCCCCAAGTTTTTGTAAGTCAAGCCCAGCCCTCTCAGAGGTAAAGCAGCTTCCATCCTATGAGGATGCAGTAAAGCAGGTAACTGCATGATTTTTTTTTTTTTTCTATAGGGCTAGGACCCTGCAGGATGTTCTTTTACAATTAGTGTAACCATCACATCAGCTGTAGGAGTTACAGCCCATTATGTGGTCTATGGTAGGACAGGCCTGTTTCCATGGGTGAGAGGGGAGTCTGTAAAATCTCCTGGTATGGGCTTTCCCTGAAGCATTAGTTGCTAAATGTAGTGTCCACGAAAATGTTAGATACTATGCTGTGTATGATATTTGCAGTATCTTCACTGCTAGTGAAAGGTGCCAGCTCACTCTGGGGGCCTGACATCCCACACAAATGTCCAGAGACTTTGGGGGAGGGGGGGCTCTTCTTTGGGGTGCTATGTGAGAAATAGACCCTCGGGCATGCCAACTGGCCAGTCACTGGGAAACTTCACCTTCTCTCTGTAGCCCAGGAGCAAAATGCCCTGCTCCATGCCATCTGCCTCCCTTAGCCTTATCCTGGAGTGCTGTTCTCATGGGGAGGACTGTCTCCATCACCTGTGAACCCCTTACTTCTAGTGAAAGTCTTTCAACAGCCTCATTGCCAGTTTTGATGGTGCCTTTAGGAAAATGGAGTGACGCCATTGGCAGTGATAAAGATTGGCTTACGCTAGCTGGCAGAAAGGACTGTGGAAAGTCCTGCCAGTGTCAGGTCAGGGAGAGGATGCTGCCACTCTATTGTCCCCCAGTGAGCAGCAGGCACGTGCCAAAGTTGGCGTCCAGAAATTCTGCGTGTCCAGTTGCTATAGGAAGAGGCAGTCTGAGGTGGCTGCATCCTGCATCAGAGCGCAGAGCCAGCTGCAGGGAGGGGGAGAATGTGATGTAATGCTCTCCGCATCCACTACCCATGTCTCAGGGCCCTGTGGTACTCTTCTGAATGCCACTGCCAGCCCTGTGTTGGCATAACATCTTTCATGCACGGGAGGAAGCCATTTGTGAGCTCTAGAGCCACCCACCTGGCTCGTGGCCAGAGGGACCTTCCTCCTAACGCCCTCTACTCTCCTCTTTACTGTTTGCTGCAGCAGATGACACGAAGTCAGCAGATGGACGAACTCCTGGACGTGCTGATTGAGAGCGGAGGTACGCACTGCTTCTCTGTTCCCCTCCAGCGCTTCCCCTTCAAGAGCTTAGGTCCATGGGGCCCAGCAGCTGTCCTCCTCTGTGTGAAGTGCTGCCAGGGCCCTCTCCCATACACAGCCCAACCCATGCTAAGCCCCATGTGAACAGCTGCCAGTGCTCATGCCCTGGGGACTGGGTCCAAACCTGGGGAAGTCAAGAGGCCAGAAGGAGGGAATATGTCAGGCTTCCCACAGGGCGAGCAACATGACTGGGACTGAGTCAGGAGTGGGTCTCCGTAGGCATGCCCAGCCCAAGTGCACTGTTCAGGGACCTTGGCAGTGCCTATGTGCCCAGTGGTGGTGGGCACTCTCTGAGCACCTCAACCACCTTTTGTTTGTTGAACAGAAATGCCAGCCAACGCCAAGGATGATCGTTCCTGCCTCCAGAAAGTACCTCAGATAACGGTGTCTACAGGGAACTCCAGCACTTCACTCTCAAAATCATCTGCCCCATTTGAACAGGTCTCCTCAGCCCAGCTCTCATTTGAGCACTGCCCAGGCAGCAGCGACACTCACCTCGAAGTCTTACTGAACGCTCACAGCCCACTAGGCAGAGTCGGAGAAATTGCCCTGCTGAAGATGGGAGGAGAAGAGTCCCACTTCGAAGGGATGATAGAGGGCTTCTCTGGCAAAGCCACAGATGAACTGCTCACCTCCCAGGAGATTTTACAGACTCCCCTCTCACCCATGGAAACCCAACTCTCCCCTTCCCCTGGTGACGGCTCTGGTTTACAAATGAGTTTCACTGAATCTCCATGGGAGACTATGGAATGGCTGGATCTAACCCCCCCCAGCTCTGCCACAGGCTTTGGCTCTCTTACCCCTGCAGGTCCCAGCATCTTCAACATTGATTTCTTAGATGTTACTGATCTCAATCTAAACACCAGCATGGACCTTCACCTACAGCAGTGGTGAAAGGGAGGATGGTGGAAGCAGGATACTATATGCCCACAGCAGCCAGCACAGTGTTTCCATCATGCCAGAGAACCCACAGGGCTAATGTATCACATTCAGGAGAAACTGGAGTCATTTTCCCAGCATATAACTTGTTCCAATTTCCAGGTACTGCTAATTGACAGCACAATAGCTCTGGTACTTTGGTTTTCCGCCATCTACATATCCCCTCAAAGGATACTAGTGCCTTTAAAAACAACACTTCTCTAGATTGACAATTTGCTAGAACTTCAATTTTGTTTCTTCTGTCTTTTTTCCCCCAGTTTTAGGAGTCACTCCCATGAGAACGGGAGCAGCTCATAAGAAAACTGTGTGGTGAGGAGAACTCACCTGGGAAGCAGCAGAAGTCATTCAGAGGAGGGCCTATTGCTATGCCATTCCCTACTCCCCTCCTGCTCTGCTAGCCCCTTAGGCAATAGTGCAAGGCACATCTTAGCCATGCTGAGGCCAGGAGGTGCAGGAGCAGGGAGGCCCAGACACTCTATCTAGCCCAGGGCAACAAGTGCACTTCTCTGTACTGACAGACTCACTTGCCTTACTTCCTTCCTCCTATCCCAAAGGCCTGAAAGCCATGTTGCCCTAGTCCCTGCACAGCTGTGCTCCAGGTGGGTGAGATATGGAGCCTGTCATGTTTATGGTGGCACTTAGTAATGTGCACACAGTGCCCAGTGGGATGAAAACTAGAGAGCAGTCCCAGCTGCAGCCTGAACTGAATCAGGCTGAAGCCTGTGACCTTGAAACAGAGAGCTCTGGATGCTGTAGGCAGCTGCTCAGGCTGCAGATGCAGGTGTTGAAGGGAATGGCATTCAGATAGAGCTGCCATGTCCCCACTAACGTGACACAGATAAAGAGATGTGTAATGTGTTTTGGCCCAAGTTCAGGAGCAAGTCATATGGAAAATACCGCAAAGCTTTGTAGGGGCCGTCCTCTGCACGGCTAGAAGAAACAATGGATCTCCGCCACCCTGCATGACCTGGGAGCCAGGGGAGCCAGAAATAGCAACTGAGCTACCTATATGTGGGACAGGGTCGAACAGGTCCTTGTGTGGCCATGGTTTTGTGTGAGCATCTGATTTGTAGTCTCCGCTCCTCTGCACCCATTCCTTCTTCCTTCCCCCCATTCTTCCTTGTTCTCCAGTAGATTCTCCTCTTTTCTGAATATATTCCTGCGTCACTGTTCACTCAGCTCAGAGCAAGGCCGTCTGGAGAACAGCTGTGAATCACTGAGCCTAGAGGAGCTTGTTCTTCTGAAGACAGCGGCGATGGATGCTCTCCTACAGTGATGCCTTCAGTTTGAAGTCACCAGCATTTCTCGTACAAGTCTCTGTGCAATATACTTCCTCAGGCTCTACTGAGAAGGAGCCTTTGCTTCACTTCTTGGCTTCCACCAAAGAACTTGCTGCAGACTGTTTGACGGACACATCTACTTCTTTGCAATTCTGGTTTTGCCAAAGTAAATATTGTTGCTGACAAAGATTGTTAAACTATTTACAGACTGAGTGTATTTAATATTTGTGTTACTGGAAGGACAGCACAATGGAGATGCAGCAGCTGGGGAGGAGGTCCAGCATGAGGGGCTTGCAGGCAATCTGGCCAGCAGCTCCTGCAGCGTGCTCCACTCAAAGGGCTGCTGGAGCTGCTAAAGGAGCTCTGCGGCCCCTGCTGTGTCTCCAGTTCATGGCGTTGTTGCATGCTGTATAAAGAACATGGCAGTAGCTTTTAAATCACTATTTAAAGCATCACTTTCTATTGTACAAATGGTCACAGTGCACTGCTAGGATAGATGAACACAGGTTGAGATTTTTTTTTTTTAAAGGAATTTCTTTTTGTAAGTGAGAAATTTTTAGAGCCGGTTCATGGAGAATATTAATAGCACTTGAATCAGAGTAGTGTTAGCTGCTACACTGTGTAATTGTACAGGGCTTTCCAGACAATTTTCTCCTTTCAACAAATGTATTTCCTTATTTAAAGGGATGCTGTCAGCTTCAAACTTGTAAGCAAGCACATTTCCTTACCTATGTTATCAGCAACACCTTCATTATTAAAAATCCCTTTGTCTTGCCACTCCGATTTGCTGTTTGATTTCACCCAGCTGCAACAGCAGCCGCCATTCCAACTGCAATTATTTGGTTTTAACTCCATTCCCTGAGGCAGTTACAGTCCTTGCAAGAGCATAAGTCTTTCTTTCAAAGCAACAGTTTTTCCTGGAAGATTTCTAAATAAGCTAGCTGGAGTGTCCTATTTCTAAAGACTTTTTCATCTGTTGGCTTTGGTTTCACTTTGTTCTTTTACAAATCCTTCTCTTTGGGTCAGCACCCCTTTCAAAGGAAGCAGTCAGCACTCTGGACTCTTGCCCAAATGCTTTTACGTTTTCAAGCAGCCGAGCTCTGGCTGCGGTAGGCCTGTGGGCCGCGGGGCATGCCTGGGGAGCTGGACCTCCCTTTGCCTGCAGGGAAATGGCAGATGCAGGCTGGAAAGCTTTGCTGGGTGCTTGCATTGCCTTATGTCCTGCCAGGGCCAAGTTCTAGCAAAGTTTTGGATGTGACTGGCCTTGACAAGGAAGCAGAGGGAAGGAGGGATTCATTTCCAGCCACAGAGCAGAGAATGGTTTATTTTCAGTGAGATTCCCCTAATGTCTGCACTCATTTGCTGTCACCATATGTTATCTGCTCAGTCTTTTTGTTCTCATTACTGTCATTCCAATAGGCTGAGAGTGAAAAGTAAAAGCTGCTCGTGAAGTTGCAGATGCAGCTTCTGAAAACCTTCACCTGGGTCTGCCTGATCTTCCTGAGCAAACAGAAATATCTCAGCATCCTAGTGCCTAAGGCAAAGAAAGGGCCCTGCCCACTAGAGAGGAGATGCTGAGTCCTTCTCCCCAGTACCTAATACTGTAGGTTTCCACATTCATCACATCTTTCCTTTAATTAAAAAAAGATTCCTAGGACATTTGCACATCTCTTTTGGGGAAGAGATTGAATGATGGACTTAAAAGGTGAAATGATCCTGAGACATTGCGGAAGTGAATCTGAAAAAAATATAGATGAGAAACTGACTAGTTTCTATAAACATCTTTTAATCTCTTAACTATACATCGCAACCAAATACACTGTGATAAACTGGCTGGATTGAATCAAGTTATGGTTACTTAAAGAATAAGAAGATAGGTCTCAGGCTAAGATTATTTCAGCAATACTATAGATAGAAATGCTCACCTGTCCTCTCTCTCACCATTGAGGGCTGGGCTGTTCAACCTACAAAAGAGGAGCTGAGAGGACATGCTGCCAGTCTCCCATCTGCAAAAGGCAAAGAACAGGCGGAGCAGGACAGGGAACTACAGATCTAAACTGCAAGGAGGATTCTTAGAAGGTGCTAAGCAAATGTTAGTGAAGTTTGGACAAGATATCTAGGGGAGCCACATGATTAGTCTTGGTTTGATCAGTTCAGATAGAGGACAGAGGGAGGGATGCAACAATCTCCTGAGGTCCCTCCAGGCCTCATCCTTGCTAAGGATACCTGCAACAAAGCTCCTCCACTGCCTGGTGAAGGGCTCTGCTCATCTATGCCTTGGCCAATGGCTCTCCAGCCCCTGCTGCAGCTGTCTTCTGGGAGAGGATGGGCCATACTGGAGAGAACAACCAGCTGGCAGGACAGGGCCCCCTCTTCCTTCACATTGCCTCAGCAGAAGAAGCGTGCACGAATCACAGAATCACAGAATCACAGAATGGCCAGGGTTGGAAGGGACCTCTGGAGATCATCTAGTCCAAGCCCCCTGCTCAAGCAGGGTCCTCTAGAGCATATTTCCCAGGATCACATCCAGACGGGTTTTGACTATCTCCAGTGAAGGAGACTCCACTACCTCTCTGGGCAACCTGTTCCAATGCTCTGTCACCCTCACAGGAAAGAAGTTCTTCCTCAGGTTCAGATGGAACTTCCTGTGGTTCAGTTTGTGCCCGTTGCCTCTCGTCCTGTCACTGGGCACCACGGAGAAGAGACCGGCCTCATCCTCTCGACACCCCCGCTTTCACATCCTTGTACACACTGATGAGATCGCCTCTCAGTCTTCTCTTCTCCAGGCTCAACGGGCCCAGCTCTCGCAGCCTTTCCTCATATGAGAGATGCTCCAGTCCCCTCCTCATCTTTGTAGCCCTCCGCTGGACTCTCTCCAGGAGTGCCATGTCTCTCTTGTCCTGTCCTGGGGAGCCCAGAA